TAAGAACCCAGGGACTCCTTTTATAGGGAGCTGCCAGCAGGGCCTGATCCTGCCCCAGCCCATCACCAGGGCTGCAGGTGAGGCTCAGCCCAGCCCTGCTCTTAAAGGACGGGTTTTCCTCATGAGTGCAGTGATTTTAACAACTGCCTTTGCTTTCCCCTTTATATTATGGCATGGCCTGACTTTGCACTAGACTTAGGGAGAGGAGAAACCCTTCCTGGTTTGGGGAACATGAAGCCCAGCTCAGGGAGGAACCGATGGTCTCTGGCTTCAGCCTCTGATCTCTGATCTGGAGTGGGGGCAAACGGTGGCAGTGGGACAATAAATCAGAGGAAGGGTTTCTGCAGGGCTTAGCAATGGAGATGAGACAGAAACATCCCTGAATCCAGAGCATCTGCTCCAGTGACCACCCCCCAAGGCCCTGGAGGAGACTACTGGGAGCTTTAATAAATCTTGTGATGAGCCAGCCTGGGGTTTAGGGCAAAGGAAAGGGAAAAGGCTCCTGAGCACACCTGAGTGCTCCACCGGCTCCATCCCTTGCCCTGAGCTCCTGCAGGAGGTGCTCCCATCCTGGAGCACCCAACTTCTGAGCCTGTTCCAAGGTGGGAGAAGCAAAGACACGCCCCAAGGATGAGCATGGCACAGAGGAGGACTCTGATTTCAGCCATAGGAGCCCAGGGTTTGCCCCTGTGGCTGAGCTGGTCCCCAACTCCCCAGCTGAGCAATCAGGCTGCTGGTGCTCAGGGCAGGGATTCTGCTCTTGCACCAGCAGCAGGGAGAGGATCTGAGGCTTGTTCCTACAAAGAGCTATGAGGTACATGGGATTTTGGGGCAGAAAACTGTTCATCTCCCACCAGATCTGCTTCTCAGGCATTCAGTACAGAGGAAGAGCTCATCTCGGCATCACATGAGGATGCAGAATTAGGACCATGAGAAGATAGGAATGGTGACTCAGGTTGCATCAGCTCTAGAAAGGCAAAACACTGTAAGGAGGAACCTTTCTGGTGTGGCTGGGAAAGTGAGGGACTGGGCTTATGTTAGCTCAGGTATATGGGCTTCTGTTAGCACAGGAGCTGTGAGTCCATCAGTCCTCTGAGCTGGGCCCATCTGCAGCTACAAGCTCAGTGCAAAGGGATAAAGAAGGACACCCCATCTCCCAGAGCAACTGCTGGGGTGCTGTTCCTATTACACCTTGGTGCTAGCACCAGACTACACCGTGCAGAACTACAACAGGCAAAGAGGATCCTGAGCTGTCATCCGGGGGTGCAATTCCTTGGATGCAGATGTAATCCTTGGCGAGGAAGAGAGCTGCTGGCCACGAGCCACGCAAGCACAGATTGGTGTCTGGTACCAGGTGTCATCGCTCCATGAGATAGAAATCATATGTTTGAGTTTCAGAGGAGAAATAGCCTAAAAGGCAAAAAATGGACTATCACCCTGTAACAGCAAACAAAGCTTGGTGGATCAAGTGGAAAAAGAATGGCTTTTCAGAAGGAGAGAGCGGAAAAAGCAATCAGTGAGACTGGTGTGAATCTGGTTTTCCTCTGAGCTGTGGAAAAAGGATTGTTCCCCCAAGGAAAGCTGTCTCTGCCCAAGGTTTGGGTACAAAAGTCCCATCTCCTGCCATACCATGGCACACAGCACTTGGTGCAGTTTGCATGAGCAGTCAGACAAGGCAAAGTCTTGATTCATCACCTCCCTTAGATCTTCTGTTTGCTCATGGTTATTAACTCGGATCCCTCACCGCTACTTACTCACCACAGCTACAAGCCCCAGCCCCGTTTCCTCAAACACCAGTGAGAACACATCAGTTCAGATGCAGTCACGGGGTTTCAGACATTTTGCCTCCCAGGGCTGCAAAGCAAAGCACAGAGAAATTGTTCTGATGGCTCAGATGTGGCGGGGGATGAGAAGGGGAGCAGGAAACACAATGGTGATGGATGCAGAAAGGGTCACTGCGGGGTGGCGAGTCCCCATGAGCACAATGTCCCGGGGCTGTGGTGGGGCTGGAGAGCAGAGAGCAGCTGAGGCCTTTACTGGTTGCCATGTCTGGGCTGGCTCACAGGGAGCTGGGGATGCTGCAGGCCTCGGTGCAGACAGTCTGGAGCACTGGGACAAGGCACAAGGTCACTGGGACAGGCTGGGAGCCAGGACCATTCCTCACTAAGTGATCTCAAGAGCTTGGGCTCTTTGGGAGCATGAGCAGAGCTGTGCCCCATGTCTGTGGAGAGAGGCAGCCAGCCATGGCTCATTGTCCCATTGTGTTGCACTAATGACTGATGCACCTAACTGCACCCTTCATTTGCACACTGCAGGGATGTCATCGCTGCACTGATGCCCCATCAGTGAGAGGACACTGCTGCCCTCCAGACGGTCCAAGCTGCTGTGGAGGGACCGAGTGGGGATGGACTTCATTTGGGCTCCTCTCCATCCTCCGCACCCCTCCCATTCCCCATAAGCCTCCAATTCCTTGCCTTCAACATCATGTTGAACCCATGGAAGCCATCCCAGGGCCAGGTGACAATAACTGGATCCTGTTGTTAGCAGCAATGTGATGTAGGATAAGGTTTGCATGGAGACCAGAACTGAGTTATTTTAACATCAGGAAAACAGGGATGGAAGTGGGAGGCGAGTTAAAGGTCTCCATTCACACCTTTGCACAGAAAGCCTCTCCAGACTCACCAGTAAAACCCAAACTTGTGGCTCTTGTTAGGAGAGGGAAGAAAAGATCCTTGTTTTGCACAAAACCTCTTTGGGAGTTTGGTTTTTCTTGGGAGAAAATGGAGCTCATGTAGCATGGAAGGGTCTGGGGCAGCTCCCAGCAGCCAGGTCTCAACTTGGAGCTGAGCCATGGGGTGTCTCATGCTCTTGGAGCAGTGGGGATCGGCATGATGCTCAGAGGAGCATGTAAAAGAGCAACAAGAGAAGGTGATGCTAAGACATCCCTACCTGCTGTTTGTGCACCAGTCTCCCTCTGATGGGCACAAAAAGGCATCCAACCACAAAAAGGTCTCCTACCACTGCTGCTTTCCTGCTTCTGATGGAATTCAACCAGTGGTAGCTCACGTGTGGTGCTTTGTTCATTGAAACAGAGGCTGAAAATGAACAAAAGCCACAAGCCACTGCCTTCTAGCAAGGAGAAAGTGAATCTAAACTCAGCCCTTGGACTTTCTTTCCCTTTGTTGTGAATGAGGACTTGCAAATTGCTTTGTACTGTGGAATCGGGGAATGTGGGATTCCCTGCTGCCTTGGGGGGGCCTTTCCAACTGCGCCCTATTTGCCTTGAGTGAAAAGGACTTGCTCGAAGAGTTGGCTTTGGCCTTGGGAAGCGAGTGGTCTTTAATAAGAAAAAGCATTAAATAAATAAAGAGACGTGGACAGCTGCTGACTCCTGTAGGATGGTCCAGGAGCTCTCAAAAATCAATGAGCATAGGAGAATGGAGTTGGTGTTAACAGACTGCCAAGCGGGTAGTGAAGGGTCGAAGCGGGTCCTTCGTACGCAGCTGGAGATGCAGCGCATTTCTCCTCTCATCCTGGTGGGTACTGAGAAGGAACTGGGAAGGAATCAATTCCTCACCGAAGGGGAAAGCTCTCCTCTCAGTCAGTGCTGGGAACTGGAGTCTGCTCGAGTGGGGAAGATTAACCTGGTGAAAAGAGCACCCTGAATATTTCAGACTGAAGCAATGTTTCATGGCAAACTTCCCACCGGCTCCATGAGAGCACACACATGTGGGAGAGACTCAAGGCCCCAGCCCAATGCATGATGATTCCCAAGAGCTACACAATGAAGAGGAGCAAACAGAGATGTCAGCCCTGCTCCTAGCACCATTTATCACTCGCCATGTGGCAGAAGATGCCTCTCAGATCACCCCAGATCGGCAGATGCTGAGAGGCTCCTCACATCCCTCTTCCACCCATCCCTCCTGCTCCATAGGGCTCTCACACTGTGGGACTCAGGAGGCTCTTTCCAGCAGCTGCTCTGCTAATGGCCCCTTATTAACAGCAGGACTCTGGAAGGGCACCAGTGATGCCTCTCTTGAAGGTGAAGCTGTCAGGGATGGATTTGGCTTCAGATCTTCACCTTCTCAAACAGCCCAGATCACCTCCACCATCAGCAGCGATTGTTTGGGAGGCATCACTTGATGTGTGCTGAATGACTGGCAGTTAAAGGCCACTGGTGTGTCATTTCCCAGCCTTTCTTGGCCTCGTATATCCTGGGTGCCAGCATCCCACAGAAACTGCAGGTAGCCTCAACAAGGATGGCCTCCAAGAGGAATAACGTCTGGGTGTCTTCTTCACCACCGCCATCCCACATCACTTGCTAGGAGAGCACATGGGATGCAAACTGGAGAGGTTGTTTGCTTCCCTGACCTTTTGGCTCATGTCCCAGCCCACCCAAACCCCTTCCCTCCTTGGGCAGCTTGTAGAGGTGTACAGACAGGACCTGGGATAGGGAATCCAGCTGTACAGGAGCTGCATGGGTGATGGGTCCCAGTGAAAGCAGCAGAGAGAAACCACTGCAGAGAGGTGTAAAGGACCATTCACAAAGCTGGTTTTCTGCTGATCTCAGCAGATCCCAACTGAAAAGCACCAGTGCTGTGCCCAGCAAGGCCAAGACAGCCCAGGTTCATTGCAGCCTGTGTATTCAGGGAATGAGGTTTGGGAAACCACCCCATAGTGACCTGTGAGCTTGAGATTTTGGGGATCCTTGGGGATGTTTGGAGTATGTCAGGAGGACATTCCCAGGGCTCACAGGACTGCCTGGCAGGGCAGGGGGAGAAGGAAGGGTGGCTGGACCAACACCGGGGGCTCGGTCACCCTTCCTACAAGCCCCATCAGGTAGGGAGAGATGTGAGAGCATCCCTAAAGCAAACACCCCCAGGCTGGACCAGGTCTGAGCATCCCAATGGGAGCCCCTCTTCTCCCAGCATCTTTCCCAGGCAGTGTGGTCCCCCCTGGAGCCTCCGTGGCCCACTTTATCCTCACTGGGCACCCCAAACCCACCTCCACAAGCAGCAGTGAGGAGCAGCGCGTAGGTGCGTGCATGGTGAACATGTGTCTGCTGGGAAGCAGGAGCATATGGTGACTCTGTTCCTGGAGGCACCGAGAGCCACAGCCATTAATCTCTATAAATAACTTTAGCCATGAAGCCTCCAACGGCCGCTTCCCCATTCCCTGCAAAACAACAGCAGAAAAGCTTTGTAAAACATCAGCGTTCCTCAAACAGCCCGACCAGGACCAGAGACTGGAGAGCAATTAAATCAGGCAACTAATTGCTAACAAGGGGGGGGACAGGGGTCCTGAGCTGTCTGATGGGCTGGGTGCTCCCCTGGGATTCAGCCCCAGGGGTTTTCTGCCCCATGTGAGCACCGGTCTGGCACAAACAGGGCTGGGAGAGCCCCTGGCTCTGTCCCAGGAATCATCCGAGGGTTCATCAGGCTGTCCTGTCTGGACATGGTGGGGAGGGTGACCTGGAGACCTGACCACATCGATCCTGTGCAAGCACAACGGATGGGCTCCAGCTTCCCAGAGCTCAGAGGCAAACTTGGGCCCTTGAGTTCCCAAACCAAAGACAAAGCACCCATAACTACACACCACGGCTGTGCATGGAGCTGCGCGTCACCTCCTGAGGTGAGGGGATGGGGAGAGGGGTGCATCACCCCATTGCTTCCCACCTGCCTTTTCCTGGCTCCATCATTCCTCTCGTCCAGGCTGCGACCAGGAGAGAGGTGCTGTGTTGGAGTTACTGCTCCTGTCTCCGAGCACAGACCAAGCCAACAGCATGTGCTAACAGTGCTCATCTCTGCTGTGTCCCAAACCTGCCCGGCTGGATTTGTTCCAGGTCCCCAAGTCACCATCTAAATGTAGCCAGAGGGGCCACACCGGCCCTGGCCATGGACTGGGGCTCAACACCCAGCACTGTCCTGACCAAGTGGCCAATTTGCCATTACAAGAAGCCACAGTGGCCTTTTCTCACCGCTGGAGCGAGTGTCCTGGTGATGGCAAAGTGAGACAGGGAAGGCACCCCCCACGCTCCAAAAAGCTGCATAACTCTGCATAGTAATAAGGGGGGTACCAGGATGCTAAGGAGCTGATTCACCATAGCAAAGCCTGGTCCAGAATCAACAGGATCCATGGGAAGCAGCAGCTTTCACACCAGACCTTGTACCAGGAGGCACCTTGGCCCATGCTGGGTCCTCCCCTCCCCTGTAAGGGTTAAGGCAGGAGCCACGTGGGTTGATGGGAGTAAGACATTTCACTTTGCTCCTATTTGTAGTTAGAAAAAGCACTAATTCATTCTAAATCTGCCTGAAAGAGCCTTAAGTGGTCATACACCGATAAAGACGACTTTATTTGGCTTAGCATTTAGAAAGTTTTATGTGTGTAAATGGGTGAGGATATCGCAAAAGCTCATTTTCTCTCTCTCTTTTAAAGCATGGAGCTGTCTGGCTTCCCTTCTGCTCTCTTGCTGGCAGAGTTCAGAGCATCTCATCCCCTTTTTCAGCAGGGGATTATTGCTCCTTGCAGGACCGGCACCTTGTTTGGTTGATCCCCTCCTTGCCCCGTGGTCTCCCTATGGCCCAAAGACTTCAGTGCTCCTGGGTGCTGCAGCCCCAGGAGCCTCTATGGGTTTTCAGGGTTGATCCCCAGGCACACTGGGGGCAGAGGCTGAGGCACAGCCTGGTTCAGAGTGAACAGGGTGTGCAAACCCTCCTATGAGCCACAAGGCACGCAACCATCCCTCCTTGCAGCTTCCCAAGTATCACCCCAACAGTCCTGGGGAACGGACATCCCCATCCCCATCCCCATCCCCACCCCTCAGCCAAGCAAAGGAGGAATTTTGCTCCCCACAGCACCAGCAGCCTTCCCTCCCTGTCCATTCGGTCGCTGGGGTTGGGGATGTGACTGCATCCGGCTCAAGGTTCATTTATCCCCCTTCTTTTAAGTCACCAAAAAGCCACCAGCTCCTTCCCCAGCCTGGCCACGCTCCCCTCCTCCTTCCAGCCCAACTCCTCACATCCAAGCCACCACCGCAGCCAGCTCTTACCCAAACCTCCCTATTTCACAGGGAGATTTCTCATCCTGATCCCCCTGTTACTCACATTGCACGATGGCAGCTAATAAGGCTCATGAAGTGCTCTTGGCAGAGGTTAGTGTGGCTCTGAAGAGACTGATCATTAGGAGCAGGGGGCTGGCTGCAGCAGAATAAACAGCATGAAGTGGTGCTCGGGCTGGGTGAGATTGGGATGGGCTCATAAAGGTCAGGTCTCAGTGAGTGAGAGGAGATGAGAAATTACAGCAAAATGCCCCTGCTTTCTTGGGAGTGTCTGATTGAGCACAAGACTTGATGGGTGCTGTAATAGGCTCCCTTATCTTAGGTCTGTCGGTGCCTGGAGTTAAGTGTTACGCTCTGAATACAGAATCACAGAATGGGTTGGGATGAAGAGACCCTAAAGCTCATCCAGCTCCAACCCCTGCCATGGGCAGGGACCCCTTCCACTGGAGCAGCTTGCTCCAAGCCCCTGTGTCCAACCTGGCCTTGAGCACTGCCAGGGATGGGGCAGCCACAGCTTCTCTGGGCACCCTGTGCCAGCGCCTCAGCACCCTCACAGGGAAGAGCTTCTGCCTTATCTCCAACTTGAACTTGCCCTGTTTCAGTTTGAACCCATCACCCCTTGTCCTGTCACTACAGTCCCTGATGAAGAGCCCTTCCCCAGCATCCTTGTATCCCCCTTCAGACACTGGAAGGCTGCTATGAACATGTTGGTGGGGTTTTGGGTCTATGCCTTGGGTCTCGAGCTCTGGCAACAGCCAGGCATTGTGTGAGCTTCACATTTATTCCTGCACAGCTCATTCAGGAGGTAACAGCAGCAATGATTCGTAATTAACCAAGTCAAATCAGGGCAAATGCTTGTGTCAGTGGGAAAATCACTCATCCCAGTATCAAACAGCATTAACTGGTGGATACCCAGCAAAGGGAGAACCAGCGGAGTTCAGCTTGAGCAGGCTGGAGGCAGCCAGGAATGCATCTGGAATGAGCTGAAATGCTTCATTCTGATGCCTTCAAATAAAGATATTTCACTTCAGGATACTCAGATCCCTTTGGATCATTTTCAAGTGAAATGTTTTGACTTCTTTTTAATGGCTTTTTTTTTTTTAACTAAAATTGTCTGATTTTAAATTAAAAAACAACCCTTATACAGGCCCTAAAATGATGGTTATTGGAAGGAGTGTGTAAAAATCTCCTTTCCCACTGAGCTGCAGCGGTGTATTTTATATTGCTTTATTTCTGTCCTCTCACATACCCCTGGACACCACACAACTGCTCTTTGGGGTTGACACCAGGCAAATAACACAGGTCCTTTCCAACCCTAACTTCTATGATTCTATGATGATGGGAACACATCCATGGAAGGGAACACCCTTCCCAGTTTCCTTCAATTGCTTTATTGGGGTTGCAGTCACGATGCCCTGGGTCTATTCACTATCAGGCTTTAAGGGTTGGTCTCTCTTGGGATAAACTGACCACAGCACTGGGGAGAGCAGGGGCTTAATAAAGGAATACAAAGCCCAGAGGTGATGAGACAAGGTGAGGAGAGCTCCATGCCTGCACTGAACAGTCTCTGACAGCCCAGGAGGAATCTGGATGATTCCAGCTTGGTTTTAGCATTATTCCTATTCCATTTAGCTAAATAAATAGAGGCTGGCTTTAAACTAATTTAATTGTGTGCACGCAGCCAACTTGCACAGCCTAAAGCAAATCATAATTTGTATTGAACTGCTGTGCTCTGAGTTTAGGGGAAGAGTTTGCTACAAGATGGATTTTCAGAGGGTTTCCCACCTTCTCCAAAAGGGTGAATGAGTAACTGCTCCTTGCGGGGGAATGAGGGGAAGTACCAAAGGGAAAGGCATCCTTAAGAAAAAGGCCAGTTTTCAAGGAGATGCCGGGATTTACAGCATGGTTTTATTTGTCCTGGGCTGGCTTTAGAGCCATTGCACCAGGAAATGTGCCTGCATCTGGGATTTAACAGGAGCCCAAAATACAAGAGCAGATAGTTATTAAAATAGCAATTCAGGTGAAAACAGGTATTAGATAGATAATGTAGATCCTCCCATCCACCCCTCCATGACCTCTTTCGTCTCTCCCATTATAACAGTGCAGGAACGGATCCCATAGGCAGTGTATCCCACTGGGGTGGCACAGGAGGGCAGACACCCCCTGGCACAAGCTTCCCAGCTTTTCCCATCTAAAGGCTGCTGAGATGATCCAATGGAGTTTCCTTGGTTTATAACCAAGCCTAATCCATCTGAATTGCAGACAGCAGGGATACCTGCAGCATTCTGCATGGATGCCCGTCCAGTTCCCTACCCTTGCTCACAGCTCTGTGGGGAGCAGATCCACGTGCCTTTGCCTTCTACCACTTGCAGGAGTGACTGAACCTCTGCTTTTGTGGCCATTCCCCTTCTTCCCCATCATAGCCATCCAAAAGCAGTGATTTAGCAGGAAAGCTTTTACCCTCAAGGCCTGGAGCTTGGCAGGGATGCAAGGAGCTGGCCTGTGGTCCTGTGGTCCATCCCATGGAGCTGTGGTGATGCTGCTGGCACTGCCTGTGCTCATCTGGTGGGAGCTGGGTTCCTTGCCACACTGGTATTTACATCTGTTTGCTGCAGGAAATAATTCATCTTTGCAGCTCATGCTGGGAATTAATTAATGGTTATGGCTTCTGTGACCCTGTGATTAACTCACTTGCACATAATTGCTTGAAGACAAAGCGATGTAGTAGGAGCTTTTCTCCCTCCCAATCCCCACTTGCCATAGTCTCTGCAGGGACCAAGCAGTCAATAAGAACCTGGATTTTCCTTCCCAGTTTTTGCCTTTCCCTGCTTCTTTTGCACACCCCTTACAGATCCAGAAGGAGAACGCTGCTGAGAGCATGTCCCAGTAGGAGAACATTTGGCCTTTGGCTGGGCACAGAGACCTTCACGGGAACCTCCATGGCAAATACTGGCCACATTTATAAGCCTGGCTATCCAAGGGTCACACAGCACAGAGCAAAGGGCTTGGCTTTGCACTAAGACTGCTGCAATCTGGAGCAAGACAAGGGTGACACCTTTGCAGCCTCCTGATGAGATGGAGTGAGACTGCCCACCACGGTCTGGTGGCCTGCAAGACAGGTCACCCAGAGAATAGTAAGGATGAAGCTTCCTCCTCTCTCACCAGTGGGCACTGGGGCTGTGAAGTCTTGGAGAGGAGGTGAGACAGAGATGTAGTGAGTGGGTAGGATCCATCTCCCCCTGCATGCTGAAAGGGACCTGCTCTTGCTAAGAGGCTGGAGTCATAGGCAAGGGGAACACGTCTCAGTTCTTGCCCTGGGATTTTTTCCAGCATGTCCTGCCTAGAAATTGCTCTGCACTGAAATGGGAACAAGGAAACTAGGCTGGCTGCAGGGGACAGTCCGTTGCTGTGCATGGAGGAGCAGGGTCACCCTTCTTGCATACCCATCAAGAACACTAACCACCTTTGAGACCATGAAGGCATACTTATGCCCAAGCTCTTAGCAAGCAGAAAAGCCTCCCCTCTGCGACACAGCTTAAAGCACTGCTGGATTGTGCAGGATCTACAGAAACCCCATTATCCTTCATGGGCCCCAGAGGAGAGGAACTACCTACCAAATCCTCATGCCTACCAGTGGGCAGAAGCCCACTTTTAGGTACCTTCACTTCCTAAGGACCAGGGATGGCCAGGATGGAGAGGGAGGCAGGGAGCTTGGAGATCCATCACAAGGTGACCTGTTTCACCCATTCCTCTACCAAACCCAGGACTCTGGCTCCATCCCACCTCCAGGTCAGAGACTGCTTTTCACCGTCAACAGGGAGGCTGAAACTTGCTTTATTTCCTAATCCAGACTGTGCAGGAGCAGGCACTGCTCCCTCCCTTCCTGAAATCCATTTCTATCTGAGATTACAGAGTTAAAGCACTCAGTTGACAGAAATAATAAGCACTCAGCAGGCAGCCAGCAGCTCTGCTGGGCTTCCCTCTTCCTATGCCCTTAATCTATCTCTCAGAGAGTCTTCAAGCAATTTAAGCCAGCCTTTCAGAACCAAGGAGCTTTAGCTTTGACCATCAAGAGTTGTCCCTGCTTGTCCTCAGCCTGCAGCAATGCTCCATCCCTGAGCACCAGCAGAACAGGGGACAGGGCAGCAGGGAAGAGCTGTGATTTCTTATCTAGGGATATGGGATGGTTGGGAGATGAAGTATTGGTGAGGCCACAAGAGATGCCAGAGCTGGCAAAGTAGATGTGGAAAAATGGGACTATGGGTTTATGGTGGTAAATCCAGGTTTCCTGCATGGAAAGCTGGCAGCCTACAGAAAAGGAGCCTGAATGTGCAACACTGCCTGAGGGTCTGCCTCTAAACAGGAACATCAGATTACATGAGAATGACAGACTGAGCTCCTTCCTCCGATGGAAAGGAGGAGCACTGGAAGGGCCGTTTCCATCCACACTCTGCCCCCCCCTGTGTGGGCCCAGCAGGAATGAGAATGAAGTTCAAACCAAGCAATTATTTCCTTAATTTCTCTCAAGCTTCAAATGTCTCAAATTGCCAGAGGGATTGCGGGGGATTTGGGTTTGTTTTGTGCCTTTTTTTCCCCCCCTCCTTTTTCATCTTGTTTTCCCTACCCCTCTTTAGTGGCTCTAATTGTGTCATTAGGAATTAATGACTTTGGAGGGAGACATTTTCTTTTTAATTAAAGGAAGAAAAGAGGAAAGCTGAAGCCACATGCAGGCAGCATCCCACCTCTTGGCATGGACCGGATTCTCCTGAAGCTGCTTATCTCAATTCCAGTAATTCAGGAAGGGGCTGGGACCAGCCTGTAGATGTTTTCTGTGCTGATGTACCTCTGTTCGGAGAGTTAATCCTTCCACCTCCTCATCTATGGCAAGGAGCTCTTCTGTGCCTTGGTTAAAGTGAGACAGGGAGCAAACTTTAACTCCAGGAGAAACACTGAGGAAGAATTCATACGGAGAAGGCAGGCTGGATGGAGCAAAACGCACTCCAAATGTGGCTCTTCTCCCACAGAGACCATGGAGAAGACCTCAGGCTCACCTCATCCCCTCCAAACATCTGGAGGCTTTGTGGCAGCTCATCCCACTGCTGCTCCGGAAGCTGAAGAGATAGCACAGGCACTATTTGAACCTCAGCGATGCTACACTGTCCCCACTGCTGCCTGAGGAGCCTTTCCTCAACCAGACCGAAGACATGGCAGCCCCAAGGACCCGCAGAGCATCCCTTGCTGATGCCTCTCCACCAGGATCTGCATTGAGGAGCCTCTCCCTGCCTTGTCCTGTCTGGCAAATGGGTAATTATTCCTCCTGCACATGCTTGCTGCTCCATCCACATCGATGTGGTGCTCCATTTGTCATCGTTTGGGAGAGCAGCACGGGAGGGCAAGGCGCTGAATGGGAATTGATTGCTTGGATGGCAGCCGGGCTGGGCAGGCAGCCTGGGCTCTGGGTAATTGCAAGTGATTCCTTTAGCAGCTCAACATGGGAGAGTCACATACTGGGATCTCTCCCAAGCTACTGGGAGAACTGGTCTGCTCCCAGAGAGGAGGAAGAGCATCAGTGAGATGCGGTGCAGGTCTTGGGAGAAGACGGCAGCCACACTCCTTCACTGTGGGTTTGCTCAAATGACTTCCAGCAGTCAGTAAAAGCAGTGAAGGGGGTTTTAGAGGAGCCTGTGGGAAGCAAAGTAACTGGGAAGGAGAAAAAGAATGAAGCCCCATGTCTGTAGATGTAGCTCTGTAGAGGATACAGGGAAACACAGTGGGAAAGGAGGGATAATTGGCCTTGAATTAGCGGCTGACATCCAAGAACAGCTCTTGGGGCTCCTGCAAACAGCTGGAAGCAGACACCTGCCCGAGAGTCAGGGGAATTAAGGGAAAAAGTAATAACCCCCCCCAAACCCTAGCACAAATGTCAAGGCAATACAAAGGAATGAGCACAAAATAGCAAGAGACATCTTCTAAGGCATTACCTGAGATTCACAGCCCCTCCTGGGCGATGGGCTCAGCCCCGGCTGCCTCCTTGGAAAAGCTTTGCAGCAAGGGAACTAGGGCGAAGAGAAGGGAAGCAGCCACAGTTAACAGGGGAACAGGGAGCACGTTCCAGCAGGGAGTGCAAGTCAGAGATGATCCTGATGGCCAGCGGGAGCTGGTGCGGGCTGCAGCCAGCTCGGAGGTACCAGGCTTGAGGGGAGCAGGGCTGAGCGCTCACCTTTCCTCCTGCTTACAGGCTGAAAAGGAGGGATGAGAGGGAGATAATCTGCTGTGGTTTGTAGGTGGAAAAGGGAATAGGAGCCTGGCTGCCCCCAGCAATGAGGGAACACACTCAAGAGGAAGGAGGAGAGGAGGGAATGCATTTTGTGGCTGTGCACACTCGGTTGAAGAGCTGCTCCTGGCTGGGGTGGGGATGCATGCCTGCTCCTGCAGGGCGTTATTACAGCAAATGCATTAAGAGAAGTAAGGTTTTACTATTCAAATATGCTGAATTCTGCAATGGATTCCCACCTTGGAAGCAGGAGGGGGGTCAACTTCTGCTAAGGAAGAAAATGTGTGATCTTGAGGGATCCTGGGTCTTCCTGAGCTCTAGCAGTTTTCTTGCCTGACCCTCGACACTGGGATGGGGCATCCCACCACGGTCTTCCTCCTTGCCTTTGGTTAGAGCTCCACACAGCATCAACATGGAAGAGATAAGAAATCCAAGACACAATTTGGAGCGAGCCAGGAGTTAAAATACCATTATCCACCCAGTGCTGCAGGAAGAGATGGACAGGATCAAGTGGGCCACCAAGTCCAGCCCCACCATTCCACATGTCCTTGTGAAAGGTGACTGTTTCCAGGGAACAGGGGACTGATCCCTCCGGTCACACTATGCAGGTGACAGCCAGTGCCCCCTCTCCTGCCCCACAGCACCTCATACTGGAAGCAAATCGATCTTCTACCAGGCTCCATCCTGCCCCTGCTCCTTCCTTTCACTCCCCTCTTCCCAATTTTTGCCCCCTTTTTCAAACTCTCAGAGAATGCCACATTAACTGTAGCTTGGAGAAAGTAATCAAGCTATTTCTAGGCAGAGAACTAATTTAATGCATGGGTGACTTTAGCTCAAAAGAAGAAATAAGGACACTCAGGCATCCTAAGGGAGCAGAATAATAGGGTAATTTGCACAAGATGAGGAGAAAGGGGGGAAAAAAGGGCCACTACTTCCTTTGCATAATCATCTCTATAAATCTCATTCTTTCCCCTGTTTGCTGGTCACCACCACTGAGTCTCAGCCATCAAACATCCTCACATGCTGGCACTTAAAAGGGACAAGAGCCGGGTTCAGCTCAGTGCTGTTGTGGCGCTTCCAAGGGTGGGAAGTGTAGATAAGGGGCAAGGTTTGGTGGCAATTTGGGATGCAAAGAAAGCTTAACGTGCCCTCAGCCTGTGCTAGAGGCAAGGAGGCAGTGAAATAACTGGTGCCTGAAGGAAATCCCACTATTTCCAGTTGCTTAAAGGGAAGAAAAGGAAGGGAAGGTGGGAAAGGTGGGAGATGCCGCTCGAAGTGTTTCCCCTTCTGACAGTGAGACTCTAACACTTAGAGCTGCCTGGCGATATGGAATAAAAGAGATGTCAGCATGAAAATCACTTGGAAGTGAAAAATGGAAGCTTTCCATTCCAAACGTGTGGAAACAATGATGTTTTTACTTAACCAACCCCCCCATGACACATTTTTCCTTTCCCTTCACCCTCCCAAGCAGCATTTGATTGAAAGCTCCACTTCCTTGTGGGAAGTTTCCATCTTGAGAAAACCGCCTTTCCTGTCAATAAAACTGTTCCTGTTGAGGATGTCCAAGCAGTGTGTGACTCCATGGAATGGTCAAGTGCTGGGAATAACCAATTCGGTAGGGCAAAGGCACGCATGGTCACAAACCTGTGTCTCCAGGCTGGGAAGGGATGGCTCCATCCATCTGGGAGATGCCCAGTACAGCAACCAGTAGCACCTGGAGCAGCCTTGAGATGCAGGAAATCATTCACCTCCAGACTGGATACAGCAAGTTCTGCCATGGAAGTGGATGATTTGTGCTGCTTTTGTCCTGGATCCCTCCCAGCAGCATTTTGGTGGGGGTGAGGAACTGCAGAGTAGGTGCTGTAACTGTGCAGGCAGCATGGGATCAGCTCCAGTAAGGAGGAGCCCAGCTGTCCCCTCTTCTTCTGATCCCCAAGGAAGCAGGCTCCAGACACAGATCTGCTGCAGACACCTTCCTGCATCCCTGCCTTGCTCTCTGCCCGGCTGCAGCCCTGTTGCACTGATGGGGAAAAAAACATATAAGTAGGTCAGAGCCCCATTTGTCAGCTATTTTGCACCGGGTGGAGTGACTGGAACCGGCAGCTTAATGGATAGATCTCACTTGTGAAATTACCCAGCACAAAAACATATGTACCTGCAGGGCAGAGAGGCTTGGTCACACCAGGAGGAGAGGAGATTTGATCCCATCACCAGCGAAAAATGGAAGAAAAGAGCCTGTTTCCTCTCCTCCTCCCTCCTGTTTTCCCCCTTCCTTTGGCCAGGGCTATGTGCTGGCTAGCCCAGGGACTGCTTGCTGGCTGTATTTCTCCTCCCTAGCTGTGCCATAAGGAAGCAGGAGACCAACCTGGCTCACCCAGGAGTGGATTGAGCCTTTTATTAGGCTGGGCAGGAGGCTGTATTTACAACCAGCCCAGGGATGCTCTCTCTATGTTGAGCCTGCATCTGTTCAGACAATGTGGGGGTAATTTCTTACCCCTTTTAACAACTGCAAATGGATAGAGGAAAGGAACACCTATGTGGGAGCAGCTTCACTCTCTGCATAAGGTCTTAATAACCCAAGCTTCTACTCAATGCTGGATGCCCATGCAGAGGAGCATACAGGTGCTGAGAAGAGGAACGATGTAGACACGCATCCTCAGGTGGGCTTGGAAAGACCCTGTGGATGGAAAGTGAGAATGCTGGGAAAGAACTGCAGCATCCTATTAGTAAAGGCCATCTGAGCCTCTAATTAAAATTTGCCTAATGACCTGGCTGCTTCATCATTTTCACTATCAGAGACGTTAATTTAAAGTGACGGGTACTTAGGCAAAGGCAAAATTCATTTAGCCTCTAAAAAGGCATTAAAGGGGCAGAGTGTGGATTGAGCAGTGCCCCTGCCCACTGTCCCGCTGTGGGAAGAGCTCCATACCCACATCACACTGGGGCATGGCTTGGTGATGATGGGAGGAAAAGGAGGAGGAATGAGTCACACAGAGCAGATGTTTCTTACCCTTAATCACTGCTGGAAAGGGGCCCAGATGACGGGACTGTACTTCCACAGAAGGCCCACTTTGCCTTGGTGGCTCTCTTGAGTAGGGTAGTTCCATCGTTGCCAGTGAGTGATACATCCTGCAAAATGCACACAGACACCATTGATTGAGTCTGGGTTTTCCTCAGGGGGAGGATACAAAGATCTGTAGTTCTTCACCCAAACCTTATTCCTATTCTCCACTTTTTTGCTGCAAATAAGACATCAGATGCTCTCCAGCCACAGCACAAGGTCTTCAGCAGATGCCCTGCCCCATCCCTCGAGCCACTTGCCATCTCTGCCCCTCATCACCCTGCTCATATTCAACAAGTCCACTTTAAATGCTCAAACCTCTCCCAGCAGATTTGCTTCCATTTCCCCACATCACCCAAAAGTGGAAGGAGGAAGATAGCCAGAAAACAACTTATGTGTCTCCCAGCAGTCCCCATGCATCCCTGCACACCACCAGCCCTGCCTCTGCCCTTGTTCCCACCCGAGCAACGAAGCTCTCTGAAGATCCCATATGCCTTGGTTGTGTCCCAGCACACAGGACAGTGATGCTGAGCCATCCCCCAGCCACCTCCTGCCTCTCAACACAGTGTGTGCAGCTGGGAAATCCCGGCTGCAGTCTTCCTCCCCATCCCTCTCTCTTTGTTAAAGCAGAGGCTGCAATGGATTTAGTGTTCAGTGCTGGTAGTCCAAACCTCATCGTTCATGCCACATTGATTCTCAATTCCAGCCCTGCAGGTTATTTAATTGGGCAGATATCCCTTCAATTTTCTCCTCCAGCGATATTATTGATGGCTGAAGTCTATCCATTTCTTTGCACAGGGCTTCAAAAGGAGCCTGTTAACAATTATAACAATAGTCAAAGACTTTGCTTTTGATTGTACTTCACAGCCCCAAATCTCAAACAATCCATTAAGCCCATCTTAGAGGTATTAATTGTCCCAGGTTCAGTCTGGAGATAGCTTGTGCAGCCCTTTGGGCTGGAATCATTACTCTTCCCTCTCCACTTCCCTTCAACAAGTGCTTTTTAGTTGTGAGCCAGGACTGTGCTCCACAGAAACCTTCCAGCTCACAGCATGGTCCTGCTGGAGTCAGCTGGTACCTCAGGTCTGCAGGTCACCTAACTCCCATCGGCACCACTGCATCCGAGCAGGGTACCAGCCATGGGGCAGGCACCGCTATGGGTCTGGGGGTACATCAAGCCCTTGCTTTTTAAGCCCTGTGAGCCTTCACTGACCATGGGAATCAACAGGTTGAATACCCCAGTAAATCCTCACTGCAGCACTGGGCCATGGTGGGAGGTGTCGCATGGGAATGGCTTTCCCTGGGCATCTTGTAACCTTAGGATCCTCTGGGACAGGAGAGACCCAAGCTCAAATCTCCCTGTGTGGGAAGGAGACCAAAGCCCTCCTCCTTGGGCAGAGATGGAGCCAGGCTCTGGATGAAGAAGGCCACCAGGAGAAACTTCTGACACTGAACCAACCCTGCTACCGTCAACCATATCCAGAAGGATCCCAAAACCCAACCAGTGTTATTAATAGCCTGGGGGTTATGTGAGTGGGGAAGCTCTCCTCTATCACAGTATCCCAGTATGTTAGAGATTGGAAGGGACCTCAAAAGATCATCTAGTCCAATCCCCCTGCCGGAGCAGGAACACCTAGATAAGGTTACTTGGGGTTTGTTGGGGTTTGGGTTTTTGGGTTTTGGTTTGTGTTGTTTGTTTGTTTTTGTTTGTGGGGTGGTTTGTGTTTTTTTTTTTGTTGGTGTTTTTTTTTGGGTTGTTTTTTGGGGTGTTTTTTTTGTTGCTCTCCTCTAGGCTGGTTTGGAGCTTGTTTTATTTTGTGTATTAACAAAACCAACTTCATCTGTGTGATGGGTACGCAAGTGAAAAAAGAGCTCTCTTACCCCAGTGACGTCCCAGAGGTGCTGAGATCCAATCCTGGCACTGGGAGCATCCCAGAGCTGCTCCAGGGATCTCCATCTCCGGCAGTGCTGCACAAGGAGTTCTGCTGTGCTGGTCCTTTGCTATCCAGTGGAGGGGCTAAGCGTGCTAGGAGCAGACTGCAGTACATCACCATGACTCCCCTGTTTCACCTCTCCAACATCCAGCGTTGTACAGGGAAGGAAATGCTTTATTTTAAGCTTTATCCTTTTTCTGTAACTTTTGATGGATGTAGCCTCAACCTTTATAGTATCTGAAAATGAATATTTTACCGTAGCATAAAAGCTGAAATGGCATGAAGTAATTGTATTTAAATATTACACTGAATATTTGATTCACGGGGCAGAATAGCTGCTGGTGGAAGGGAACATTTCAGCCATGCTGGGCAGACCCCAAGTGATTTGATCCATAGGTGCCATCCCAACAGCCCCTATTTATTTCATTCATGCTTTTCCTTCTTCTTTCTGCATTTTCATGCGGAGGGCTGAAGAACAACAGCTCTGGGGCTCCTGCAGTGAGCTCTCACCCTGGTGTCTCTCATGCATCCACCCCCCAAGTCCCACAGACCTATGTTCACAACACCATGATGACCCCGTGGCCGCATCCACCCTCAGCACCACAATGGGGCTGCTGCTGTGGCAAGCAGGGCTCCAAGAGAACACTTCCTACTGCCACTGATTACTATGGCCCTGCACTGCCTCATTAATTACCCACCGGTCAGAGCAGCGATGCCTCCCATCTGAAAGCTGCACCAGTAATTTCATGTTTCAAATGAACTCCAGGAGCACCCTGCGAGTCATTCTTTGCAGGAGAACAGAGTGTAATATCTATAATTAAACACAACAGGGATGGTCTAACAAAAGTGTGTGAGGAGCTGAGCAGGGACGGCTGCTCCATTTGGACACCCGGAGGGATTCCCTTTGTTGCCAAGGTTTTGGGGAAGGAGTCAGGAGGTTTGCTGGTGCAGCACTGAGGTGGGAGCCACCATCGTGGTGATGCCAGCTTCAATAGGGCATCCTAGCTTACCCAAACTAATACCATGAGGTTATTGGGTGCAGGGAGGGGACAGAGCAGCAAAGGTATGGTGGTGGCCACTGCATCTCTCCTGCACACCAGCCCTGTCCTTTGCTCCTCTGAATGCATCTTGACCCACCTGCACAAGGCACTGGTTCGAGCACCACCATCAGCCTCACACTGCTGACAGCTGCCCCAGGAGCTGAGGATGAGGCAGTGAACCCGGGAAGGTAGGGCTGATGAGGAGGAGGAGGAGGATGCGGAGTCCAGGACCGCAGTAACCTCAAGGTGACTTGAGACAGAGGTGTTTTTACAGGGAGCACAGTGTGAGAAGCTTCTATGCCATCTGCTCCTGATGCCCTGCATCCAGCGAAGCAGGGCACTGCTCTTTCCTACATGCTAAAAATACTCCATAGAAAAAAATAGAACAGAAAAAGAAGGAAAAAAAAAAAAGATGGAGAAATGAGAGGAGTACAAACAAAGACTCCATGGAGACCAGAGGCTTCGTCATGCTCTTCCCTGTGTATCAGGCCCTTTGCCCCCTTTGCTCCATCAGTCTTACATCTGAGGGCAGAAACATGCTATTACTGGGTTTGTATAGCGTTGGAAGCAGGCACATGCATGCACACACATCCCAGCCTCGGGTACAGGCCATCTGCACTGTTAATGGAGCTAAGAGAG